AAAAGAACAAAAAAATGTTAAGTATGCTCACTAAAAAAAAAATCCTTTTTTTTTTGTCATATTTTTTACACTGGAAATTAAGGAAAATATTGAAAATACACAAAAAAAAATAAAAGAAAAAAAAAATAGACAAAATATATAAATATTTATTTGTAATAATATATTTTTTTTTTTTTTTTTCCTTTCTATTAAATACAAGAAAAAAAATTCTTTTTTGTTATATAAATACTATATTAGAAAAAAAAGGAGATTATTTTTATTAATATATATTTGTCAGAATATAAAAAAGATAAAAAACTAAACCTTTAAATTTTTTAATATATTCTTATATTTATAAAAAATAATGTTAATATTTTTATGTATAAAAATAATGATACATATATATATATATATATATTTTTATGTATAAATTTTTACAATAAAAAATACCTTTAGTACATTTTTTTATCTTTTAAAAAAATAAGTGAATTAACAACTTAAATATTTGGTTTGTAATTATTATTTCTATATATTATCATTTTTGGTTTATTAATAGAAATTATTTTTTTTTATTAAATAGAATATTAAATAAAATGATAGATATAATGCTTAAGATGTTTTTAGGAAAATATTTCGAATGTAAAAAATAGAATAAAAAAAAAAAAAAATACTACAATTTTTGTTAGAATAACTTAGATAATTGTATTTTTTTTTTTTTTTAATATTCATAATTTCAATTTTTGTTTTTATTTTTTTTATAGCTTGTGACCATAATTTTATAACCATGAATATGAATGCAGGAATTGAGATTAGAAATATAATAATAAAAAACGATGAAATTAATAATTTTTTAAAAGTTACATATCTATTTTTTTTTTCATGGTTTATTAAGAAATTATAATTTATTAATAATTTTTCATACTTTTTTATTTTTTTTTATATTTTTCTTTTTTTTTTAAGAGCAAAAATATAGATATAGAAATAGTTTATTTGAAAATAGAAAAAATTAATATAAGTTTTAAAACATTGTCAGGAATATTAACTGTAATAAATAAGAGAAAAATTTTTTTTTTTTATTCATAAGTTATTTTTTTTTTTTTTTAATTTTATTTAGTACTATTAATCATTTTATATTAATTTTTTGCTCTTTTTTTTTCTTAAAATATGAAGCTAAAATTACAAGGTGTAGACTTAAGAGTTAAATCAAATATTCATAGAAATACAACTAAAGGAATTAAAAATAAGATTAAAAAATTTTTAAATACAAATCAAGGTGGTAAATTTATATTAATTTTTTTTTTAAATAATATCCTTATATATATCAATAAGTTATAAATATTTTTATACATACATATGTATGTTTATATCTCCAAGTAAATATATGTGTTTAAATTTATTTCTTAAAATTATGCATAGACAATATAAAATTATATTCTCCATATGACACACAGGTAAAAAAAAAAAAAAAAAAAGAAAAAGAAATTTATATTTATTTTACATATTATTTTATTCTTTTAATTACATTAGAATATCCATTATGAAAGTGTAAAACTAGAGAATGAAGTATTATGTTGTTATTGTGATAAATACAAGAATGTTGAAAATAGTTTAAGTTGTTACAATAATTATAACAATATAAAAAAATATATATGTAATGAATGCTCAATTTTGAAAAATAAAAATAACAAAAATAATTTAAGGTTAATTCAGAAACAAACTTTTTTAAAAAATAAATCTTCAAAATATTATAACAGAAATGATATATATTTGGCAAATATCCCGTATATTAATGTGATTGACATTAATAATATAGATAGAAGTTCATATGGAGAAAAAATTAATTCAAACTGTTTGAACTTCAATCATTCAAAAAATTTTAAATATTATAATGGAAATTCTCAATTAAATAATAAAAAGGAAATAAAACGTGATACACATACTTTTAAAAATAGTAATAGTAATTTAAAAAAAGATAAAAATTTAAGTAAATGCGAGCTTTTTTTAGAAAGTTCAAATGATATAAAAAGCACATCCAAATATGATTTAAATCAAATAAATGATTATAATTGTACAAATAAATTAAATGAAAATATTTGCCTAGACATACATAAACAAGAAGAAGGTAATATAAATACATTATGTGAATTAAGTAAAAGAAGTTCTCATAATTTTTGCAAGATTAAAAATAAATGTTTAAGTAATAGTGATGTATTCAAAAACATATATTTAAGTGATAACAACAAATTACATTATGCAAATAGCTTAAATGAAAATAAAAGTTTGAATATTACTAAAAATTATGATGAGATACAACAATATCCATATAATTATATAGAAAAAAAAAATAATGAATTAAAAAATTATGAAAAAGAAATTGGTGAGATTGATAAAAACGGTAAAATTTACAAGAAAAATAATATGAGTCATCCTATTTTATACAAAAACAATATTGTATCAGAGAACAAAAAAGTACAAAAATTAAATTTCGAAAATATATTAAGACAAAATGAATTATTAGGAAATATTTTAAACAAAAAATTTTGTTATATAAATAAAATAAATGAAAAATTAAATAATATGAAAATAAATAAAGAAATTCCTACAAATGTCATGTATAACAAAACAAATGAAGAAAAATGTTCTTATAATGTTAAAAATAAATACAATTTGTTATATAGTTATAATGATATATATAATAATAAAGATAACAAAATAAAAATAGACAATATTTTTAACTTCAAATAAATATGTATATTAAATAAAAATTTTTTTTTATTTCCCATTCTCTTCACAATTTTTTTGTTAATAATTTAAAAATATTACTTATTTTCTTTGTTCTATAAATTAATATCATAATACAAAAAAAAAAAAAAAAAAAAAAAAAAAAAAAATATGTTGACATATTATTCCCTTTATCTCTATATTTTACAAAAACTAATGTTAGATTCTTTCAATTACCAGAGGGGATTTAAAACACTTTATTTTGTGAACTTTATATTTTTTTCTAAAAAAAAATTTTTTTTTTTAAAATTTTTTAATGATATTGTATATTTAAATTAATAAATTAAAAAATATAGTTTATTTATATTACTCTAAAATTAAAAAAAAAAAAATAATTTTTTAAGATTTTCATCCGTTAGAATAACAAATAAAAAATTAAAGAAAATCTAACAAAAAAAAAAGTTATAAAATACATATAGTAAAAAGAGAAAAACACAAAAAAAATCAAAAGAATTAAAATTTTTATTTTATATATTTCCTTTTCAATTTGAAAAAAATTACAATCGTAAAGAAAATTTTTTTTTATTTTTATTCATATTTTTTGAAATAAGTTAAAGTTTTATATACTTGTATATGCAAATTTATGTAAATTATTTATGACTTGTTCAGTATAATTTTTTTTTTTTTTTTTTAAGAATGAAATTGAATATTTTTTTGATTTAATAAATTAAAATGGCTAGCCATTTTACTAGATCTGATAACTTTGTTAGTATCTGGTATAATTGGCATTTCACTTATTTCCGTAGGTCTTGGAAATTCTTTAAAATATGGATGATTTAAAGCTTCAGCTGCAGATATTCTATTTTTTGGATTAAAATGTAACAATTTTTGTAATAGATCTACTCCACTATCAGACAAATATAAACCCGAAAATTGGTTAGCTACATTTGGAAAATATGAACGAATATTATTAACATTCATTTTTATTTTTTTTTTTCTAAATAAGTCTTTATTTTTCGATATAAATGTATATTCATAAAACTCAGGATACGATTCTTTATCTGGAAGTCCTAATAAACTTAATATTTTCATAATTTGTTCATACTCATTATCTCCTATAAATAATGGTTTTTTTAATATCATTTCAGCAAAAATACACCCCACACTCCATATATCGATTTTATTTGTATAACATTTTTCTCCCAATAATAATTCAGGTGCTCTATACCATAAGGTTACTACATTTTTTGTAAGATTATGTATAGTTATGTGCCCAAATTTTCTAGACATTCCAAAATCACAAATTTTTAATATTCCTCTGTTACTATATAATAAATTTGTTGGTTTTAAATCTCTGTGCATAACCCAATTTGTATGCAAATAATTTATTCCACTTAATAGTTGCTTTAGTAGGCATTTTAATTCAGATATTGTAAAACTTGGTGATTTATTATCTAGTAATATTTTTAATTCGTGTTCAATATATTCCATTACTAAATATATATCATTTAAATTCTTACCTATAACTACTTCTTTAATGGATAAAATGTTTTCATGTTCTAACTGTAATAATATATTTATTTCTCTTAATGAAGTTATTGCAAAACCTTCATTTCGTATACTTGAAAAGTGTTTTAACTGTTTTAGAGCAACAATTTTCTTTGTTTTTTTATTTTGTGCTCTGAATACTGTGCCATATGTACCTTCGCTTATTTTATTTAACTTTCTATAATTTTTTACACTTCTACATCCATTTAATATACAATCAACTTTATTTTTTTCACTATCACTAGAATATTCATTTGGTGTTTCGCATTCTTCTACTGTATCTTCTTTATCACTACTATTTTCATTTTTACTTTTTTCTGTATATTTTCCATCACTTGTTGAATTTCTTGATTCATTAATTTTTTCATATTTGTTTTCATTTATATTTTCACTTATGTATTCTCTTATATCTTTAGTTTCCACTTTTTTTTTTGACATATCAACATCTTCATTCGATGAAATTCCTTTTTGAACATTTTTTTCTTCTATATCTTTTCTATCTTTATATATTTCATACTCTTTATCATTTTTACATGGTTGATAATTTTCATCAAAATTTTTGGGTTCTGTTTTAATACATTTTTTATCATTTAAATTATAATCTGGACTTTTTTCCTTTCTCTTATCTCTTCCATAATATTTTTCTTCATTAACATGATTATTTACATTATCTTTATGCGCATATTTTTCATTACTTAATTCCTTACTAATTTTGATATCTTTATGATTTTTTAGCTTGTCATTATCTATATAATTATTATAATTTATATTGCTTTGTTTGTTATGTGACTTACTTTTTTCACGTAAAACATTTTCATCATATTCAAATTTTCTTTTGTTAGAGTTTTCCTTATTTTTGTCAAATTTTTCACAAGTAAACTTTGGCTCTTCTTTATTATTAAAACTATTTTTTTTTTCTCTTGATAGTTTTTCCGAAACTTTTGAATTATTTTCTCTTTCCTTTTTATTATTAAGATTACATTGTGATCTTTCAAGTAATGCTTCTATTTTTACATCTCTTTTTCTACTATTCATCCTCTTATCATATATCTCTGGTGAATTTTTATATCTTTTTCTTTCATGAATACTTTTAGTTTCATTGTAATATCCCTCTAATGATCTTTTATTGGAATTATGAAAATGTTCTTTATGTATTTTTTTATCTAATTCTTCACATAATCTTTTATTTTTTTTTTCAGGTGACCTTAAATATTTCTTATTTATTGGCCTTATATAAATATCATTACTACGTTTTTCACATGATGTATTAAATTTTTTTTTTTCTTTGCTATATATATATCTACTAGCTATTTTATCATTTGTAAAATTGTTGCTATTTTCTTCTTTTTTAGTATCTTTCATTTCACTCTTACATAATTTATCAATATGTTCACCAGTTTTTTTTTTCTCCTCTTTATTATATTTGGATGTTAATTCTTTCGTATTATTTAAATCTTTCATTGGTTTTGAAAAAGGAGAATGTTTTTTATTCGTAAAATTAATGGATATTTTTTGCTCGTTTTTTTTTATATGTTTATCTTTTTTTAAATTATTGTTTATATTACTATTTTCACCATGTCCCTTATTTGATATATTAACTGTTTCACTTCTTTCAGTGAATGCTCTTTCTGTTTTTTTAAATTCTATATCTTTTTTAATTAATTCATTATTCATTGTACATTTATTATTTTTCCTATCATTATTAAAACTTATAATTTTTTTTTTTTTTTTTTTTTTTAT